AGTTTTAAGTAGTAGGTAAGGTGTCATTCTTAATGTCGTATTGTAGTGTATAAGATATTTATATGTGTGATCAGTTGGAGACTTGGAGTCATGATCTAATTGCATGTTGACATATATGCATGAATCTGTTGATTAACTTTAAAATACCTTATTAAATAAATGGGAAATCAATCAAATGTGGTTAGTTTGAGTGATTATCAATCCATATTTAAGAATATACAGTTTTAAAATATTAAATTTGTAGATATATCATTATCGACGATTAAACTTGTTCTTCAAAATTCAAAAACTATAAAATGAATGACACAAAAATGTGCAATATTCAAAAACTATAAAATGAATGACACTTAAACCGGGAGATCCAACAAATGATATCATAGTACTTGTGATCGGGAGATCCAACACCAACAAGTTATATTTATTAATTAAAATTATTAGTACTTGTGATATCATAGATGATTATAAAATAACAATTTATAAACAAATGTAACTATTTAGATATCGATAGCTCGTACGCAATACAATTTAAGCAAAATGATTATAATTTACATGTCATCTAAGAAAAAATCATAAACACAAATGATTATATATTTGACTTAAGAACATATGATATGAAGAAAAGAATAATTCTCTAGCCGGCTCTTTAGGCCGGCTCCTATACAACGAGACCGATGACTTCCAGTTGTTACCATTGTCTGTATATGTTAGTTGTTAATTATCGTTATCATAGTTCTTTATTCATATTGTAATTTTTCCTGTTGACCATTGTAGTCAAGAGGAAAACAAAAATGATCAACTTTTATTTAAAAATTGATTGTTAATTTCATCGTTTAAATTAAACTTTGCTTTTTAATGATTGGATTGGAAATGTTCAACACCAACCTCCTGGGCTAATTAGGTTGAGAACATCTACCAAAGTGGGTACGTGAAAAAGAATGTATTAGAGAACTCATTGAATTTGTAATATCTTCTTATACATATGTACTCAAAGTGAATATTTTTACTTACAACAATTATTTATTTAGACTAACATCATCATTAGACCAGTAATGTAGTCGGGTAATTTATGCTAGCATTGCTACTATGTGACCAACCACCTAGATTTAAATTTGCATGTTGCTAAAAAGAAGTAACACTATTATTTAATAAGAAATAACACTATTATTTAATAAGAAATAATCAGTAATTACTATTCTCTGTACTGTTTAATTTGTTTTATTGATTTGAAAATGGAGAAAAAAAACTAACACCATAATCTCTAATTGTGTTTTTTTCTTTTCATTGAAAACTCTATATAATTAGATATGAACAGATTTCTACATTTTGAATAACTTTCATAAGAAAAGTAAATATATGAGATGACTTCTTTCTTATTCACCGATTTTTCAATGCACACCAATTATTTTTTACAAAGGAAAAACAAAACAGTCGATATCACGAAGCATATGAGAAAGAAGTCAACTTTTGTGAGGAAAATTCAATTGGTAATCTTTTTCTCACAAATCTGTAAACTATATACTTATATTTGGAACTTTAGAAATTATGTCAAAATACCAAAAATTAATTAGAAGAAACCTGTAAGTTGTAATAAATCCCAATTAACATCTATATATAAATACGCATATGCATGGATTCCCATTTACGTTAGCTATCTATTACTCATTTATTCAACTATAAATCTTATGGTGCAAATAGTTGTTACTTTAGAGGAACAAGATTAAAGGAATAAACCTATACTAAGGGAGTGCAAACGATTTTCACAGGTATAAATTATAATTTGTTTATTGGAAAATTTCTCTCACACTCGTATAACAAGAAGAAGAAAAACAAAATTCCTTTGAAAATACTTTCCTCTCTAAATAGTAAACAAATACGAAAAATGAGGGGAACACGTTATATTTGTTCATCTTTTTTTTCCCTTAATTCTAACTACAATATTTCCTCTGATTATCGTTTCACTTATTATTATTAGGGAAATTGGGTTAAATAACCCAAAAAGAAATTATAATTTAAAATCTAACCAATTAACCTACATTTAATGGATATAAACATGCCACATATGCTACTTTTGTTGGTTTTTTAATTATAATTTTTGTTGTTGTTATTAAGCAAATTAGGGCATAATTATCCATGAGACTCCCTAAGTCTCATTTGCCTAATTATATTAATATATATAATGTAAAGTGTTGAAATGAGACTCTCTTAAAATTTAGAAAAAAAAGGTGTTTATCCATGAGATTTCATAGAATATCATAAAAAAAAAAAATTAAAATATTTTTAATTTTATTGAAGTTTAAATTATTAAACATACATATAGAACATACAAATTTTATTCAAATTATTGAACATACATATAGAAGATACAAACATGCATAAATTTGTTTCAGAACTA